CAGTGTTGGGGGTAACGCATTACAAGTAACTTTTTTCCAGTAACTAGTAAAGTACCGCATTACTTTTTAATTTACAAGAGAATATCTGAGTTACTTTTTCAAATAAGTAACGCAAGTTACTTTTTTTCCCCCAATTTATTGATTGACAGCTCTCCTGTCCCCATGTCCAGAGAAATCAGATGTAACTGTAGTTCTAAAATAAATATGAATATGCATTATCTCACTCACAAAAAAAAACACAGATTCAGTATTCCTCAAAATGAATACAAATAATGCAACTCAGAATATGATGCAAACCTGCAATAATTAAATGTTAAACAACACAAATATCCTTTATGTATTTAATCCCATTCTATTAACCAATGTCTTTGCTTCTGACCTTCGATGATCCAGTTCAACCATACAAATAAGCAAAAATTACTCTAGACAAACATTTGTGTGTCTTTTTTTATTGCTGAAGTGTGTTGAAATTTCTTCTTCTGCATTCTACAGTATGGATGTAAATTTACTTTCCCTTCAGCCTGCGGCTTGTTCATTTCACTTTTGGTGTGAAAAGGCTTTTATATTTGCCAAAAATATAACTTTTTTTATTTTTAAAAACAAACAAGCAAGCCCTGTCCAGATTAAAAAAGTAACGCAAACCTAACGTAACGCATTACTTTCCATAAAAAGAAACTAAGTAACGTAATTAGTTACTTTTTCATGGAGTAACACAATATTGTAATCCATTACTTTTAAAAGTAACTTTTCCCAACACTGCTGATAAGACAAAAGACGGCCTGAGCTGTGGTTGCCCCTCAGTGGAAGTATTTGCTTTGAGCCGTCAAGCGCCCCCTGCTCTGTGTCTCACAAACACGGTCGGACTCAGCATTATCTCAAACACTGAGGCGCTACGGCAAATAACCTCTAATTCATTCAAGCGTATGAAGAAAATGGGGAGAAATATGCTTCAGATTTGACTATTTTAACAAAGTAAATATAACAAAGAGTGTGTCGTTGTTGCTGCATTAGTGAAAATAGCCTGTATGAAGACGTATATGAATTTGCCCCATGCATCCAAAGTCAACGCAATGTTCAAACATCTTGTAATATTTCTCAAATTTTGAGACCTCTAGCCTATTACAACTTTTTGAAGTCTAGTGGTTTGGAGTAGCATCCAATCAAATTCACACAAATGCTGATAGATTTATCAATTTTTGTCAATTTATAGACCTTTAGAACGTTTATAAGTAAACAACAATAATGACAGCTTCTTGAAAGAGACCTCCATTACTATCAGCACACCTTGGAAAACACTCGGGAAAAAAGTTACAAAAGCTATCACTGTGGTGGTACCTTTACAGTTTATGAATCATGCTTCATGAGGGGTTTCTACTTAGTATTTTAGTTTTAATAGATAATAAATCATATAAGATGAAACAAACCAGGATTGTCTCATTTAGAAACTCTTTAGAAATGTCAGTCCTCCTTTTCAAGTTAGGCCTTTTTTTATATAATTTGTATCTGTTATGTTTAATGGAGTATTGTGTGTTTAATTTTTAACATTATTTAGTGTTATGTGTGTTACCTTGATGGTCTTGTAACATTGCTTAATTTTCTTATTGCTTGAGAGACCCATTTTGTCAAACATTAAGTCCTTATCTGATTTCCATTGTACCACTTGTACAATACATTTTACCTTGACAAATTGATTTTTCAAATAGATTAGAAAAGTAACATTATATAACTTTAATGACATATCCACTGCACGGAAGCAAGCTATTTTCTGTGAATGTGCCAGACTTCAGATTCATTAGTCATTATGCTTAAATAACTAGAACAATAACAAAGTGCAGTAAACAGTAAAACTATCTGCGATAGAAACCAGTATGATTACAACATTAATTACAAATAATTTTATAACAAATACAAGTCACGCAACATTATGACAGCTAAAATAACTGGTAGCAATTGACCCCAGAAGCCACGCAGATTCAAGTTATAAATGTCTGCACCTGCTCTGACATTACAAATAAGAAAATAAATTATGAAATATACAGCCACCAAAATGCCCAAAATGGCACAAGCTGCCCATAGATGAAGAAACATAGAATTCAGTAACTGTTGTTCAAAACGTATTTAACTATAAAGCATAATGTTGATCAATGTCCAACATTTTGTGCTAATCTAATTATTGCATCTGCCCCATTAAAAAAATAAAGTTTTAAAATTGTAACATCCACAAAGTGACGTCATGACATCTTTTAATCTGTTTCTAAAGCATGTTATAAGAAAAGAAGTAATCTCATTAGATTTTTGACATGCCCCAAATGCTGGTAGGGTTGCCAAAAATATTCTCATAGAAACTAAAATATGTCCTGAAAAAAGAAACAAACACAAAAACACACAACCATTTCAGGACTAACATTTCTATCTCACACATCCAACAAGCTTATATAATGAAAACAAATAAACGTTACAAAATATAGAGCAAATAAAACATTACATTAAAATGACACGCATATTAATATACAAATTTATATAGCACATACAAATTTCAGCTGATTTACCTAAACACCAATAAACAAGTTATTGGTGCAAATGTTACAATTGAGTTCTGACCCTGTCCCTGGGGAATTGAGCGGCCTATATTTCATTTTGATTTAGACAGCATTAACACATATGGAGAGCCCTCACAGCAGGCACGTTACACACAGTTTATCTGTCTATTATCTCACAGGGCTCATAAAACGGTCATGACCACTAGTCAGCAATTACTGCTGCAATAGCGGAACACTGGGTCATATAAACAAGAATTAGCTAAAAGTGATTCGATAACCTTCAGGTAGGCTATGAAATGAATACTTCTAATGGTAAACTAAAACAGGAAATACAATTTAATGGAAAGGAAAATCCAGGAACAGTCTCTATTTGAGATCACACTTACCTCAGCTGAAGCGTTTAATCTGGTGACCCCTGAAATGACCTCACAGCTTCTTCTGATCTTTTCCAGAGGAATGCAGGAAATAGAGTCCTCTGCAGCTGAAATGAAGAAGTTCCGCTTTACTGATTCCAAGAAGATGTAGGCCTATATGAGGATTATATTGCTGCTATAATCCTTGGCAAATCAACATATACTGCCACTTTCATTAATACTTCCCATATTTACTCCATAAACTCACTATGAGTCAGTGTGTCCATTAATTTGCTAATTAAAGCAAGAGACAAAACTACAGTTTCTTAAAGTTGTGCAGTTGTAAATGCAATTTTTTTCCTACACAAAAATGTATATATGTGTGCTCGTGCTAATCTAGGCTACACATTTGTATATTATGGCTAAAAGAGAAATAACTCAATTAAAAATGGTATGTATTTTCCATCAGCGTGGTTTATCTTATCCTGATTTTTGCATTGTTTTCTAAACCAGTGAAGAACCAGCATTAGTTTTATACAAAATACTCAAACTGTCACTTAGGTTCTCTATATCAAAATACTATGTGCTAATTCGTTTCTGTAATTTGGATTTTTTTTATATTTATGTATTATTATTATTATTATGAATATTATTTTGCTCTAATTTTATCAAATGTTCCCTAAAAGATTCGTGAATAGTGCTAGGACTTCTTCGAATGTGCCTTTGTGCATTTAATTGTTTATTTTATTGTTTTAAATCGTTTATTATTATTATTACTATTATTATTATTATTATTTATAAGGATGTTAGTAAGCTAAATAAATAAATATTAAGAGAACATAGATGAAGGTATTAAATTATGTAGCCAGGGTTTGGACTGGTTCGTTAGTAAACAGAGTTGTTTGTCCAATCAACGTTGAGCGTTCGTTTGATTAGAACGTCACGTTATCATTACGCTAATGAGTTGCAGATTCTCAAACAGAGAGGAGCGCGTGAATGTACCGCAGGTAAGACACGCGTTCATTCACGTTTAACAGATACAGCAACTCCTTTAACAGCACTTAAAATATTTGTCTGTTAAAGGTGTACATTAAAAAAACGGGAAATTAATCAATCGTGAAATAAATTAATCGCAATGCAGTTAACAGAAAAACATTGATTTTTAAAGAAGTTAAAATGATAAAATCTGTAATATTTAATATTTAGACTTTTTATTTTAAGAAATAGCCTATGTACAGTGTTAACAGAATCTGTTTGTTTTCTGCAAATAATTTAGTCAGTAATTTAAGAAATGTGCATGTGAAAGAGATTCCCAATAAACGTGCTACAATAGTAGTCAGTATGTTGTCAATATGTTTTCAAGGCGATTATCAGGCTCTCGGTGTGATATCAGAGTTTAGTTCTCTTCCCTCTATTGTGTTTTTGAACCCCCGGGACGGAAGAGATTCTCTCTAATCCAACTTGTTTTCTCTATCTTGCTGAGATATGAGAGTCCTAATTTTAAATCCAAAACCAATCCCAAAAAGACATTCCTTTCGGCCTGGAAAATTTCACATCGTTTCCACTTTTCGCTATTTAATCCGGCTAATAATAATTAACCTACAATATTTTTTTCTTTACGCAATAAGCATCAAATGCGCGTATTGATACGCAGAGACAATGCTCCCTGTTAGATGATCGGTTTGCAGTTATTTCCTGATTGTTGATTGGGTGTTAATCTGTGTATTGCTGTGTCCATTCGTTTATTATTCACACCTCCTTATATCTGACAGACAACATGGAAATGCTTTTCTCAAAAAACAAAACAAACAAAAAAAAAAACAATTATGTAAGCTATGTTAGGTAACGTGTACATTTTAAGAGCAGTAACTGGTCACCATGTTTTGTTTGCAATTCTGAAGAAAGATCTGAAGTCTTTTCTTGAATTTCACTGGTTAGTGGAGCTGGTTCTTCTGGGGCCTTCGTTTGATTAACAGCATTTATTCCAAATGATCTTCATCCAGCACAATATGAAAATGATCAAGTGCGAGATTTTGTCATTCTTATTCGCATTTCATGCTTTGTAGCGAAAGGTCCATACATGATCATGGAAAGGCCACTTAAGATGTCTTTCAGTAAATCTTATCGCTGATGTTTATCGTGTCCTCCCCCTTCTCCCCGGCGGTCATCGCGCATCGCGCCTCATTCTCACTCCCATTACGCAGCGGGATTGACATGAAACTGTGAATTGTTTGCTGCTCAAATAGAGTTGACCTGGAGCCAGCAGTCTGAGGGGTTGAGGAGCGACCATCTCTGCCTCCTCCCCTCTACATCAGCATGACAAAGCACTGGGGGGGTCCGGGCTTGTTGGCACCACCCGTGATCACTGTAGGAGCAGGAGCCCAAGACGACCATCACCTTGACTGCAGCACCAGCTATTCCTCTTCCAACACCAGCTGTCACTGCTCCACAAACCCTCTGTTTAAGTTCGGTGGCCGGCTGGATAAGTCCACAGGGATGGCGCAGGACTCCTGTTACAGAGCCAAACCGTCGGATCAGAGCGCATTGGAAATGCAGGATGGGACCTCAAGTGGAGGAAAGAAGAAGAACTATCAGCGTTATCCCAAACCACCTTACTCTTACCTAGCTATGATTGCAATGGTCATCCAGAACTCCCCGGAGAAGAAACTCACTTTGTCAGAGGTATGTCATCTTCACAGGCGCGCAACACGCAACTTTTGTTTTTTAAACGGTCAAAATTCATCAGGAATGTGAATGAATTTTAATAATCACAGTTTATTTACATTATGCCCTATTTCTACACCAACATATTTTTAATTCAGCGTTTCAGCTGAAACGATTATCTTTATCAGCAAGTTCGTGCCACATCCACATTTAGGCTACATTTTTACAAGTTGTAGGCCCTACAGAATAAGTCATTTTTTAGGATCTTATTGGAGGATTTCTTTCAGGTTCCAAATAAAAAGAAATTCCATTAGCACTCATTGAAACTTAACATTTCTATAAAACCCAGTTGCGCCATCACCACACTGACGTTAATTTCCACAAAGAAACTATAGGACCGTTTACATGTGAAGTGAGTTTTGGTGCGTGTTGCACATCCAAATCACATAATGTTGAATAATGTTGCACGTTATCTGTCTCATGGATCTCGATGGGGTTTGTGTTGTGAATAGTGAAAGCAGAGGCCGATACTCTATCATGCTGATAGCTGTGGCTGGAATCACACTGTGCCGCAATTACTACGCAATTGTTCCGAAATGTCGCAACTTGTAAGAATCCGCGATCGGGATTAACAGTTTGCTGACTACTCAAGAGTGACTCCTGTGAATTTTTGTAACTGATTTGAGGTAGGGCCTGCTGCTACAGGTGATTGGACTCGACTTTTTTTTTTTTCCGAATAAAATGGCAAGCAAATCCTGTATTTTAAACATAATTTTTAAAATGACTTTTACCTATGTTTAAACTGGTTAAACATGCAAGTTAGCCATACTCCTATTAACTATGCCTGTTATAAATGTCACCCCACAGAAAATCTCACTTTTTCTGTGTGATTTACAAATATATAGGTCTATGCTTGCACACAGGTCACTGCCTTATTCTGGCTTTTTTTGAAAATGTAGCAGAAAGTCAAGATTCTCAGCAATATGGGCTACCGCTGTCTGTTTAGAATCTGTGCAGTTTAGAAGCTGTGGCCAATAATAATGATACGATATGTTTTTAATAACTATGAATAAATTGTCTTTGAACAGATTCTGAAGGAGATCAGCACTCTCTTTCCATTCTTCAAGGGAAATTACAAAGGCTGGAGGGACTCAGTCCGACACAACCTGTCATCTTACGACTGCTTCGTGAAGGTGTGTGTTTGATTTCAGGTGACTGAAAAAAAAAATGTGTTAGTTTGATGGTAATTTGACATTATCTTGTTGCCCCTCCTTCTCTCTCTAGGTGCTTAAGAATCCTGGTAAACCCCAAGGTAAAGGTAACTTTTGGACCGTAGAAGTGAGCCGAATTCCACTGGAGCTGCTGAAAAGACAGAATACGGCAGTGTCCCGTCAGGATGAAACTATCTTTGCTCAGGACCTGGCCCCATACATCTTTCAAGGTTACGCTCAGTCGAACAAGTCCAAACCTTTGCCCGCTGACCTCTCCTTACCCCCTGTCCCCACCCGTCACAGCCCACCCCCATCAGAGGACCCCTATCGTCCCAAACTGGACTCCACGTTTGCTATAGATTCTCTCCTGCATAGCCTCAGGCCTGCCAGTTCTGCTGGGGAAGGGCTACAAGAGAGAGAAAGTTGGGGCATCGGGCCTCCTCCGCACACTCGCTCTACCACTCCACCACGTCCTTGCAATGGCTCGTATAATTGCAGTTCGTCAACCAGCTCCGTCAGTCCTGCGTCGGATTTGTCAGATGAGGACTGGAGAGGGGTGACACTCATTGGGAAAAGATCAGGTGATCGAGGATCAACTTCAGACGGATACAGTGACTCCTGCCCCCCGCCGAACAAAAGCTCAAAACGCAGCACCACACCTCCATGGGAGCTGCCGACTTCCTATGCCAAGTACACCCCTCCCAACGCGGTAGCGCCTCCTAGCATGCGCTTTAATGGAAACCCGTTCATGCCACTGGGCGGTATTCCGTTCTACGGTTACGGTGGTGCACATGTCACTTCATCACACTTGATTGGTCACCCTTACTGGCGCATCCTACCAAGTGGGCCAGTTTCCATACAAGCCCCACCCCTCCTCATGGACTTGGACAGTATGCTGCAATCTGTTCCACCCAATAAGAGCGTGTTTGATGCGCTTGGCCCCAACAATCAGACTGCTCATCCACCTCCAAACCAGTATGCCCTTCCGAACAGGCCTTCCCTTTGCAAATATTCTCTTTAAACTATGCACAATATAGTCCTAGAAGAAGAAGATAAGAAGTCCTATCTTTGGCACTGCTCAGGCTTCACAAAGATTTGCAACCACTAATGCTGCTCATTACTGTATACTCCATCTGTGAATTGTCTCAGGGAATTCTTTGAGAAAATTCGTCTGTGAACTGAACCGTTACAGGGCCAATATTGACCAAAGAATCTACCCAACCAATGTTGACACTGTTGTAACTTCTGTCCATTCATGTGACTTTTTCTTTGACACAATTACTACCTCAGACTTTTAATGTCAATGGGGAGGCACATTGGCTGCTCTTGTTTCCTGAATGGACCCTTGTAATGTTTGGGGACAATCAATGAATTACTTGATAAGACCAATTGAATGTTGCCTTTTTATAGGCTTGAAGTATGGTGTGTGTGGTTGTTTTCCCTCCCTACAAAATCAACCAGAAATGGTGTGCTGGACATTTGTTAGGATTAGGGATGTGTGTGAGTGTACTTTTGAAACTGTAAGGAACCTGCAAAGTTTACATAAAGACTGGCTTTTATGCCATGAATGTGTCACTTTTTATATGTTGGTTTTAGCAGGGTAAACAGATTTTTTGAAGTCTTTTTGTATGGTTCTTCTGACATGATAATGTGTGTTAACAACACGTTCATTTCACCCCCACTCCACTTGGTAAAGTCCAATCTCAGGCTCTGATAACAATGGTGGAGGCCTGACAGATCTGATGAGATCCAGTCTTGTGTGTTTTTTTTCTGGTATGCATTCACTTTGAAGAACTGTAATTAGAGCCATTTTATCAGTGCACTGTGTCTCAAAGCCTTATCATGACTCCTTGTGTCCCTGTGGAGTGTAGGTGCTGTAACTATGGTTTTTATAATCTGGTCATCAAATGCCTTTTTAAAATAAATGTTTATGTTGCCTTTTGATCATGCATGTCTGCATGATACTGTCCAGAAGCTCATATTGAGTGATTTGATCAGTAATTAAACGTAAGGGTCGTTTAACTGGTGGTTGTCCCTCCGTCTGGTGCACGTCATGCCACCATCACCTCCTGCTGTTTTTTTCTGTCCTGTCCTCCCTTAAAATCACTCATTCATACCCCCAACACTTCCACCCTCTTACAGGTCCATTCTTTGTAATGGACCTTAGTTTCAAGTATTTGGGAATTCTCAGTTTCTAGGTGATTTGTTCCACTGAGTTTGAGTCTTTTTTTCCCATGTATTATTATTGTGTCATGGTATAGAGCAGTCAGACTGTATAGTATTGATGAATATGCTTTTGTTTATTTTAGGTGTAATCCTGTGAAAACATGTCTAGGAGAGTTCTGCGTAGTTCATCCTAAAAGTGTGTGTGTGTATCCTCAGTTGACTTCAGATTGCAGGGAAAGTGACACTAAGCCTTTTTAAAAAAAAAATTAAAATATCATGGACAAAGCATGAGTTAGATGTTTCACAGCAAATGCATATTTGTTACTGTTAATTTGCATTTGGCATCTATCATATGTTTGGTTCTTGACTTCTTTGTGATCATATGTTATACTGCCTGAGTCTCATCAACGACAATATTTTACTTAAAGCCAGTAATGAAACTAGCTGAATACTGATAGATATTTTAAAAATGAAGAGATCATAAATCACATGCCACCTGATACGATTTATATTCATCTGTCAAAGCAACTTTCTATTCATGAGTAGCTGGAGAGACGGCATGTGCTCCTCACAAAAAAAGATGCAGTGGAACAACAAGAATCTATAAACAAAATTCTGAAAAGCAGAGTAAATAAGTGGCTCTTAGAACACACTGAACTGAGAATACATCCTTTAATTAAAAAACTTCACCCACTTTTTTTTTTTTCATTGTGGAGACAAAATGGGGATTCTAAAAAAAAACGTTAAGACTTCAGATTATATGACCAAAAATAAGAAAAGTCTCACAAACTGCTGCAGTAACCAAGACATGTAAAGTGAAAGAGAGAGTCCTGATAGATACTCAGCCAGAGATTTTCACAAGGACAGGTTAAAAGGATCATGATCAGATTAGAAGCTGAAAATGTCAATATTAATATGTAATTGTATAGCTTCATCATCAGTTCATTTGTCTAGCTCCATCAGCAGTACGTTGACTGGCCAAACAAAATTAAAGCATTTATTTAATGTGTAGCAATTAATATCAAAACACACATATAATGTGTGTTAGGCATTGCCTATTCGGAACACAGGTGGGTTTAAATGTTACAGTCCCACTCCATTGTTTTTACGTTTGTAGCGTAATTATAATAAAAAAACGGGGCTATTTTTTGAGAAAAAAAGTAAAGTGAAACATGGTAAATATGAAGAAGTAAATAAAGGACTTTTATTGGCAATATTTTAGTTCTGTAGGCTATGTTTATAGATTCTTGGATGGGACTGTCCCTGCCTCAGACGTCACGCCCACATCTTCTGTGCAATTATCCCGATCTCATGAGAATTCATAATTATTGTACTAATTTCGTATTTGTAGGTAAACCGTCATTAGAAAGCCCTAATCCTAACCTTCAGGCTAAGGAGTCATCAGCAGATCAAATTCATACGACATCGCAACCAATTAACCAAATCATAAATTATTGCTGTAAACCCATAGGACCTTTCACCCTACACATAACATAGTTAGGAATATAATTACAAATAAAAAAGTCACAGACAAACGTTTATTTATTTATTGCAAGAAAATAGAAATGGTGCTCGAATAGCCTTTAGAATTTGTTCACGTTTAAGGAGACAGAATCAACGTATTCAAATAGTTTATAACCCTTTTGTTCAGAAAAGGCCTTCGTGATGTTATTAATAACGCGATTTCTACTAAGGGGTGCTGTTTATGGAGGGTATTTTGTTCATGCAAGGACGAAGAATTTTTTTTGGGGAAAAAAAATCAATTTTGAAATAGGCTACTGACGCTTTTACATAGAGCTAAACAGTGATTTAATGAACATGTAATCTAATACGGACTACATTTATACTGATAAATGTATTTAGCTTGCGGTCATTAAAATATTATAAAAATCCACGGAAACTTCCATTTCACAGAAGGGTTCTTTATAGCTGAACATTTTTTTCATTATTCTTCACACTAAAAAATAAAAGAAAAAAAATAAAGGTTATTTTACGAACTATGAGCATCTTAGGCTCGCTGCAAACGCCCTTTTTGGAACCTTCATTTTTATAGACTGAGTAGGTATATCATCAGTTCGATTCAGGTAACGTATGAAATAATAAAAAATGAATATGAAGGATAATAGGCCTATTAGCATTTTATAAAAATTGTGAAGTTTTACATCCAGTTGAGTTCATTTTTTCTCATAAAATACAATAGTAAATATTCATTAGCAGTGTGACAGTAGTTTTGTTCCTTATTTTATTTCTCGGATTATAGAAGTATTTCAACACCAGTGAAATAAATAAATACAATAAAATAAGATTGTCAATATCATCTGAAAATGCTGATCTCTTTTCAGACAAGGCCTATATAATTGTAACTAACATTTTTGTTTCAATGAACATCTAGTTGTATCTAGTAGCCTAACATTATCAAAATAACACGTTTAAATGAATTAGCCTATAAAATTGACATCGTCTATCAATATAATTAAGTGTCACTTCAACTTGGTGGGAAAATCACCATGCTCACATTTTAACAGCATTGAAGTTTTGAAATCAGCCTCTCTGTGAAACACCCTGTGCAAAAATTGAAGCACAACAAAATGACCTTTCACAATCATTAAACTGCGATGTATTTAGCCCAGTTTCTTTATGACGTAGCCTAACTAAACAAATGAATGAGCAGTTAGGTCTGTTAATGAATAGTATTAGGCTTAGTATTAATTCATGAGGTCTCGATTGACTCGAGTATTTATAGCACGATTCATTGGGCTACTAGTATTTTACAAAATATGCTTGAAGACATATAGGCCTAAATGGAGGAACAATCTGCACTTCACGAGAAATTGACATAAATACAAAAGGCATTACAAAAATATAAGCCTATTTAGATCTATAAAACGTTAACAATCATCATCAGTAAGCGATAAGGCTAAACTGAATTTCCAAATATTCTATGGAGGACAAAACCTGCATCTATTTTTGTATTTGAAATTCTGCTTATGGGAAATGACATACAATGGATGCAAACATCCATTCTCCATTGTTTTATGTAGCAGTTATGCTGTAGCCCATTGGGCTTTAGGCAGGTAAACATCCCAAAGAGGTGTTTACACCCATTACTATTATCTCATTATCAATGATACCCATCCAGCTCATGGTAACAGCATTACATTTTATTATCACTAATTCTGTCACTACTGTACATTAAGTATATAACTAACCTTTAAAACACTATAGCAGAACAGAAAAAAACACTTAATATAAGAGGTTTCATTAGACTTTATTTCAGCTGTCTTCAGAAACAGTTTCTATTGTCCAGTGCTTTGTTTCTTTTGTTTCCTCTTCTTAAACTGTCTTCTGTGGCTCCTACAGGCAACGGTGTTTAGAAGGAAGCTGATGGTCTCCATCCTGTTCACCCGCACTTCCATATCCACCTCCCCCAGGGGTGAACAGACTGAACATGTCCTGTCATGTATGCCACACGTCAGTCCATTTGAATGAAAATTCTATAGTCAATAACTCCCCTAACACAAAATCATTCGAAAACAACAAAGACGTTTGAAGAGAGATATATAGATGTGATCATTAAAGGGTGGATCATCCTTATGTAGAATAAAAGAGCTTTTCCTGAACACTGATATGTATTCAAGACCATTTCCATAATGGAATAAAGAAATAAAAAAAGATAATTGCTGCTTATTGTCTAAGAATTCTGAGATTTATTGTGGCAATTCTGAGAAAAAGTCAGAATTGTGAGATATAAAGAATACAGATTTGTTTTTTCTTTTTCTCCAATTTTAAGATAATATCTTGCAATTCTCAGTTTCTCGTAAAAAAAATTCACAATTGTGATACTTTTTTTGATTCCTTCTAGTAGATATGACTGTTTTCATCTCGTTTTGAAAAAGGTATTATTGATTTGATTGTATTTACAAGTATGCAAAAACACACACTGTTTGTCTTACCCCAGGATCCAGGCTGATGGTATTCTTGGCCCCTAAATTTAAAACTCTGCCATCCGTTTTATGAAACAAATTCAGCCCAGGTGCTCCATTTTTACCTCCTAAATGAAGCAAGAATTATATACATGTGTGTATGTATACGGAAGCACATACAAGTATATGAAAGTATATAAATATACTGTGATGAAGGTACCGTGTAGGCCATAGGGCTGTGTAGAACGCCTCTCCGTTAATACCGACAGAACCACTGGACTACGAAATCGAAGTTTCCGGATCACACCATCACCGCCGCGGTACAGACCTGCCCCTCCGGAACCGGGCCGCAGGGAAAACTGCTCAAGAATCACTGGATACCTGAGACAGCAACTCAACTTCAACAATCTCTTCCACATTATGAATGAATGGAACATTTCTATAATGCTGTAATATAGTCAGACCTGCTCTCCAGGATCTCAGGGTCAGTGATGCGAGTGTTTGTCATGTGAGTGTGAACACCACTGCGCCCCTTCCAGGTTGGCCCTGCTCCCGCACCCCCGGCAACCGTCTCATAGTAACCACTTTTCTCACTGCCGAATGAAATGTTGTTCATGCAACCCTTAAAAAAATAATATTAGAGAATGCAAAAAGTATGATCATAAACAGCATCTAAATTTACACAAACAGAGTTTTTCGTTCCTTGTCAAAGGTGCACACTGACTAGGGTACTAAAGATATTATGTAGTATATATAATGTTATTTTTAAGTATCATGCAATGCAACTCCTCAGTTAAACTGCTTAAGGGTTGCCAATATGATTGGAATATTTAACTGCATCATTTATATGTACAAACCACATTTTTATATAGAAACAGTAATTAGGCTTGTCATTAAATCAAACTGTTGTAAATTGCACAACTTCACAGATTTTATAATTCTCAATACCACCACATAACTAATTAGTAACTCAAATTAATTAACTAATTAATAACTAATTAAGCTACTATAATTAATTAATAACTAACTAATTAACTGCTATAAGTATATTCAGCCTCAACCTGGATACAGAGTAGTATGTAGTATGTACTATACACAGAAAATCTCAACTGGTTGATTCTTATATTGTTAAAAAATGCTAACTATATTATCACTCAGCTACATATTAAAAGATATTTAAAAAAAAAATGATTTTTTTTTATTTTGTCCCACAATTAAACTATAATATTGTCTAGCTCTTTATATAAATTTGGATATACAAGTAGGTTGAACTTTAACCACATACATATAGTACACTTGTAAAGGGTGATACATACTATATAGCAT